TTAAACAAAGACATAAATTCTAGATTATTTACCATAAATAAGACAAAGAATCCATTACTTCAGAATTCGCAAACCACTTCGAAAAAGTACTGAATACTTTAAAAATAACACATCGTAATGAAAATCATCGGAGAATTCCCCCGTGTACAAAACATGATGATGTTACAATAACTGAAGAAAATATAATTAGGGCTATTTCGAACCTAAAATTTAAAAAATCTCCTGACTCTTTCGGTATCTCAGCAGAACATTTGAAATACGCAAATTGTGACGCTTTAACAAAATGGCTCATCAAATTTTTTAATTATTCCATTAATTATGGATAGACACCATTATCAATGTCGACGTCTATTATTGTACCCCTTGTTAAATCGTATAAAAAATCTTTAGATAGCCCGAGCAATTATCGCGGTATTAACATTATACCAATTTTTACAAAGGTTCTAGAATACCTAATCCTTATTATATTTCCGGATATTAAAGATACTCACCCCCTACAATTTGGATTCAATACTAACTGTTCAACGCTACATGCTGAATTTCTAATTAGCGAAACAGTTAAACATTACAATAGCAACAATTCACCTGTACATCTATTCTCTTTAGATGCAGAAAAAGCTTTTGATAGCTGCAACTGGGATATCCTATTTGATAAACTATATTTTGATAAAAAATTATCACTCTGTATAGTTAACACTATCTCTTCGTTATATAACAATAGTAGTGCAACAGTCTCATATCAAGGTTGTAAATCAAACTCCTTTCTTCTAAAGCAAGTAGTAAGACAAGGATCGATTCTTTCACCTCACCTTTATAATATTTACACTGAAAGTCTTCTTGAAACTATTTCAAATCAAGGTATTGTTGGCACATCTATATATGGTAACTTTACTGGTGTGGTGGCATATGCGGATGATATCATACTTTTAAGCTCTACCCTCTCTGGTCTTAAAAAGCTGATAAAAACATGCAATATTTACATTAATTTAAATTGTATTAAAATAAATGCCGAAAAAACTGAATTCTTGATTTCCGGTAAAGCACAAATACAAACCAATACGATAAGGATATCTAGTAATAAAATAAATCTTCAGAATAAACTTAGACATCTGGGATTCACATGGGATACTAAACATTCAACTTTTGCATCACTCAATAATACAAATGTTAATGAAAAAATTTCAAACTTTAGAGCTGTTGTTCAAACTCTTATTCAATCTGGAATCCGGTTGCCCACCCAAGTTCTATTTCCTATATATATAAATTATTGGCAGTCCCTACCTCAACTTATGGTATGGAGATATGTGAAAATAATTCGGCTTTGATGAAAAAGCTAGATGTAATTGGAAGGAGTGCACTAAAATCGCTTTTAAATGTTTCAAAACACAGTAAGAACTATACAAATTCGCTATTTAAAATCCAGGAAATTTCAAAAAGTATTCAACAAAATAAATTAAACTTGTTTCTTCGTCTTCTTAATCATAAAAAAAACTTCAGGCATTATCTTTTCACAACTGAAACACTCCTTATTTAAACATTCGTTTGTTGGTGTTATCTAGGACCTATGCCGTTTTCGGATGATAAATTTTCAAAACTTAATTTAAAATAAAAAGAAGATAAAAATAGCACTTTCTAAATTCCCTCCGAAGTTGAACAAACTTTGAAACATGCAATAGAGTGCTGGAATGCGAAAGAGCAAAGAGGAATTTTTAAACAAATTCTGGAGGAAAAAATTCTTAAGTGAAAATCACGAGAAATAACTTTCTTATTTTTTTTTTACCTTGTAAATTTCATTGGGTGTTAAATAAATGAAATAATAAAAAAAACTAGGTTGACAAATTTCAATTTTCTCAAATAGAATATGTAATTAACAATTATTTTTTTTATTATTCAATTAAATACATTGTAAAATAAGCTTTTACAATACAATAACCTTTCCATTTTCAAGGTCAACAAGCAATGGAAAAGTCTTTACTTGATTTTTTTCAGTCTCATAGACTACATCAAACAAAGTTTTTTTTAAATTAAGGGTATTCTTAAAACTTTACCTGTACACCAAAATAATTTTTTATTGCTGTTTTTCATAATTTTATGTTGAATAAATTTTTTCAACAAGATAATTAAAAATATCTAAAACATTAGGCTAGAGGTTTAATTTTTGTTGATTTGCTAACTGAGAAAGTCTTACATTCTTCAATTTTTCACATAATTCTTCTTTTTGTTTCAAAATCAAAATATCTTGTTTTTTTCTTTCTTTAAGAAAAATCTTTCTCTCAATGGGCTCTGGAAAACTCCTTGTTCTAATAATTGATTGCAAACTACTGAATAACTCATAGTTCGTAAAGTCTCTTACCACCAAGCATTTTAGTTTTGTTAAAATATTTAGGTTCACATTTTGCTTCAATAACATACCAATAAAAATCCAACGGTGCGCCTTATTTTTTTTTTTTTTTTGATTTTTAAGGTGTCACTTGTAGCGTAACTATAAATTTTGACCCCCCCCCCCGCAAATAAAGTAAAGGGGGTTTCTTTATTTTTTTACTTTACTTTAAGTTTTTTCAACGTTTAGAAATTCTAAACGTTCTAAATAAGAATGTAACTTTTTGCAAAAAATGCCCGAGATACGTGAAAAATTATAAATTCATAAAATGTATTTGATAAAACAGAAATTAGTAACACTCATATTATTATTACCATATTATTCATTTGAGTAAAATTTGTAAATCTCCATGGGGCCCTCTAAGCTCCGTGTCACCTCCCCCTCCCCCTATCAATGATTTTTTTGTTCATTTAGTCGGCAAATTTGAACCATTTTGACTAGTTAGACGGCAAATGTAGACCCTTTCAACTGGTTAGTCGGTAAATTTAGACAGTCCGTCGGTCAGTCGGCAAATATCGTTATGGAAGTCAGCCACACACCCCCTCCTCCCCCATTGCGCCGACCTTGGTAATAAGTTATTATTATAATTTTTGCCGAAATTTTGAAATAATGTTAAGACGGACGGAAAGGAAGAAGAGAATGGGATTTAACAGGTTTTCAACTTAAATTTAAAATTTATATATATAAATATATATAAAATATATATATATATATATATATAGATATATATATATATATATATATATATATATATATATATATATATATATATATATATATATATATATATATATATATATATATATATATATATATATTTAAGTTGATTTAGGTGCCCCAAGAAGTCCTTACGGTCTTATCACAGAACACCGCGGAATAGCATTTAATAGGAACTTCACGCCTCCTTCCCAACCGATGTCACAAAGCTTGCCCAGAGGTGGGGTTTGAACCACGAGTCTTACGTTTCTGAGACAAGTGCGCTACGACTGCGCCACGGCTGCTTTATATATATATATATATATATATATATATATATATATATATATATATATATATATATATATATATATATATATATATATATATATATATATATATATATATATATATATATATATATATATGATTGTGACATTATGGTTTATCACTAACTCTAGTCTATTTGTCTTTATTGCAATGCCCCGCAAAAAAAAAAACTTATCAACATTAAAAGTAACCTTTTAGTCTTTTTTACTGTTTAATCTATGTAAGAATCTTGCAAGAATATAATAAATTAGTTAAACTTAAAGAAAGGTGTATTACCATTTAAAATAATGCTATAAAATATACAAAAGATTTTAATTAAAGTTAACAAAAAATTTTTATAGTTAATAATACTTTTTGTCGTTAAAATAAATTAAAAAAATTGATACAAAAAAACTAAAAAAAAAAGGGAAGAATACATAAAACTTCTGTACATTTTTAATTTAAAATAATACTTAGACTAAAGTTACGTCATTATCATTTGGTTAAAAACAATCACTGCAGTACGATAGCAATTTACGCATCCTTATATATTTTAGCCATAAAAAAAACTTTTAGAACGTAGCTTTTGTTTTACTAAAAAAAAATAGACTCAAGAAAATTTTTTTAAAAAAGATTTAGGTCAAAACACAAAAGAGTATACTCAAAGCAGCCATATTGTTTTTAAATAACTACCGAATCTTAGAATCAATTGGGCTGTAAACCCTAAAAAACTATAATTTTATAAAGTTGTATCGAAAAACACAGTTTTTAAAAAGCTCTTTGGTTCTGTAATATTTACAACATATAGTATTCAAATTAAAACTGCATTTTATTATTTACGTAAAAAATTTCTAAAAAAATAACAGAGCATAAAACCAAAAGTGGTTTCTTCTAAACTGCTACTAAATCAACCACCAACATTACTAGTTTTGATTGAAATTTTTGTTTTAACAAAACTTTTATTTTTGATTGCAACTTTTAGTACTAAACAATTAAGGACTGATTTAATTGGTTTGAAGATTGTTTTCGGTGATTTGCGTATATTTATTTCTAAAGTTAAGAAATATAAAAAGTTTTAGGATGAGTAATACACAAATTTTTGAAAATGGCGATCTTGTGATAACAATGCAAATAATCTTGTAAATATGAATAACAAATAGTAAAAACAATCAGATTTCCGTTTCCTTCAATAGCTCTAGTAGAACAAAATAATACTGTTTTATATGCTCTGTGTTGGTAATTTATCGTGCCATCCAAGGTAACACTCAATAGCACATATAATCAACCAGCAGTTAGTAAAAAGAAAAGAATTTTTACTTTTTTGATTTAAATAAAAGGGGAAATATCAGTCATTAAATCCATTCTGATTTAATTGATAATACTGTTTTTGTTTCTAGCATTAAGTTTTACGAATATTAAGAAATAATTCTCTACAATCACGGAGATTAAAACTTAAAAAATTCTTTGCTTTAAATATCAACCAATAGCATTGCGTCGTTGAATCATTTAAAAGCCAGTTTGTTGCATCTTTCATCAATTGCTTGTTGGTTACTGACCAAGAGCAAATCTAAGATTATTTTTTAAGAAATTGCCGTTCATGAAAAGCAACATTAAGCTTCAATAGGAAAAGGTAAAATAAATGTATCAATATATTTTTAATTAAAAAAAGAAGTTTTACATATACTCTACGTTAAATAAGCAAACTTGTTTTTTAAAACAGGAAAAATGAAGTACTTGATTGGCTTCTTATCTATTTTCTTATTTGCATCTTCAATAGGTAAACTTTATTATATTTCTAGTAAATAATATAACACACTGCACAAACTGTACAAAAAACGGGTGAACACATTTTTTTTTACAAGTTTTATAATTTTATTATTTATTTTTGTTATACTGTTTTTTATCGGTTAAGTTGGTTTTCTTTACTTTTTAACTTCTCGGGTGATACTCGCTTTGTAAGTGAAAATAAACAAGTAGCCTTCTAGTCTTTGACTGATTACTCTTATCTATATCCGAGTCCCAGTAAACACTAGACGTGTTTAACATAACTATAAAGAGGTCTTAAACGCCTTCTTGTATTTGAGACGCATGATTTTTAAGGCGTACCCCAGGTATTATAAATCATTTGAACAAGTTTTAAATTAAGGTACCTATACAATTTCTTTTATTTCCATTTACATAATTATTTATATAAAAAATACACGATCATTACAAGAGCCTACGCAAGCTTTTTAATGGTGACGCCTATTTTTTAAGTTAAACCCCTCAAACCATTCAAAAGTTAATGCAAATTTTTCTTTTGCACAATAAGGTGGATAAAGATCAAAAAAAAAAATCAAACTCTTAAGTGAACGCGAGTTAGTTAGGTTTTTGGGGTCAAAGAACTCAAATATGGAACTGATTTTTTTTTTTTTTTTTTTTTTTTTTTTGCGTACATTTGTGTTTGCGTACACACGAACGTATTTAAAAGCGTTTTAGTGAACTTAAACAAATGCAACCACTTGGCTAATACTTTTTTTTTTCCAGTGAGCAAATCCAGGTTTTGCGTTTTTTGTAAAATCAAGGCCCGATTTATTTATTATTTATTTAAGGTGGTTATCAGGTAAAAAAATAGCGATTTTTGTGAAAAAATGTGTTTTTTAGTTTTTCAGCCAACTTTGTTTAAAATTTAATTGGCTTTTTAACCATATATAACATGATATGGGTTAATTAAAAAAAAAATGTAAAAAAATTGTTTTAGTTGGTAAGAGTAAAAAAAATTTACTTAACAACCGCATAGCAACCAATAATTTTTTATAGATATATTACCCAAAGACCTAGATTTAAACAATTATTTCTTTTCATGGGTCTGTATAATTAACTAAACTTTTGAACCAGAGTTATTTTTAGCAAAGCCGTATGTTTTGATGTTATTTGTTAAGCAGAAAGAAAAAAGTTTAAAGTTGTTAAAAAAAGTTTTATTATGGCAAAGAATAAAAGTTTTAAAAATAGAAAAGTTAAACGAGTTTTTCAAGGTAATAGATATACTAAGAAAACAGTTGAGGTTTTTTTGCAACAGCCTGACAAAGATACAAACAATGATGGAATAAATATATTGCCATGTGCTAGTTCAACAAAGTTGAACATTTCCATAGATAAAGCTGATCAACCTTTAACAAAACACGACGACTTTTTCTTTTTTTTTCATTTCCCAATGTTTAAAGATTTAATTTGTAGCATTGGATCTTGTGGTGAATGCAATTCAAAGGATATTGCTCTTGAATATCTCGATGAAAAAGCCAAGGGATTTTCAATACAATTTTGTATTAAATGTGCAACTTGTGAATGGACGTACTTCTTTAATTCATCTCGAGCATTTAGTATACCTGATAGAGATACCAGAGGAGTAAAATCTCAAGAAATTAATGTTAGAACTGTTATGGCCTTTAGAGAAATTGGGCAAGGTCACGAGGCAATGAAAATATTTGCATCTATTTTGAATATGCCCCCACCAATGAGTTTGTTCTCGTATAATGAAATAAACTCTGACCTATTAAAATTTTATGAAGCTGCTTCTTGTGATAGCATGAAGGATGCTGTGACAGAGATAAGAAAAAGAGATTTTCCAAATGCTGCTGAAAATGATATTGTTGATATACAAATTGGAATTGACGGTTCATGGCAGAAACGTGGTCATTCATCTCTAAATGGTGTATGCACTGCTGTTGCAAAAGCTAACCGTAAAGTTGTCGATTACCAAGTATTTTCAAAGTTTTGTCGTGGCTGTGCTTTGTGGCAAAGTAAGAGAAATAAAAGCGGTTATGGAAAGTTTTTGAAGACACATGTTTGCGACCTTAACCACTTTAAATCATCAGGTGCCATGGAATCAGCAGGTGCTTTATCATTTTTTACGGAATCATTGGCAAAGTACAATGTTCGCTATTCTCATTATATAGGAGATGGAGATACTGAATCTTATACAAATGTTGTAAAGGCAAAGCCATATGGAGAAGATCTTGTCCCAGTAAAAATAGAGTGCGTCGGTCATGTCCAAAAACGCCTAGGCACCCGGTTACGTCAAATGCGATGTGACTTAAAGGGTAAAAAGTTAGAAGATGGGAAAATTATATCAGGGAAAGGAAGGTTGACAGATAAGATCATTAATAAAATGCAAAATTTTTATGGCATGAGCATTAGGCAAAATACCTTAGAAGCATGGAGTGGAGACCGTACTATAGCCTTGTACAATATGAAAAAATCTGTTTTGGCTGTATTGTGGCATTGCTCGAATATAAGCAACAGCGAAGAGAGACATCAATTTTGTCCACGTACAAAGGAAAGCTGGTGCAAGTATTGGCAGAATGACAAAAATTATAAACCATCAATTAATTTGCCTCTTGCTATTAAAAGTATTCTTAAAGACACATTCTTGGCACTACGGTCAGATGATTTGTTATCAAGATGCCTGGATGGCGCAACACAAAATCCAAATGAGGCTTTCAACCAGATAATCTGGAAAAAGTGTCCAAAAAATATTTTTGTTACTAAAAAGGTACTAGATCTTGGTGTTGCTTCAGCTGTAATAAATTACAATGATGGTTTGAGAGGTTTCACAAGAATTTTTGATTATTTGCAGCTCTTGCCTGGAAGTTTTATGATCCAAGGATCGTGGAAGAAGGACGTATCAAGAGTAAAGAACACGATTAAAAATTCAACTCCAAAGCAAAAAAGGGCTAGAAGGAAAAGGAGATGTATCAGGAAGGGTTATATTGATAAGGAGAAAGAAAAAGAGGGAGTAGACTCTTATATTACAGGAAATTTTTAATTAATAAATTGTTTTTAAACTTTGAAGCTTGATTTCTCAATTGTTTGTTTTTGCCTGACTGCAATAAGCGAATCATTCATATCTTTTTAACCAGATATGCAATTGAGTTCAAATTTTCAGGGTTGTTTCTTTATAGATAGAACTGCAATAGCTTACTAGAACTAATCTTAAGCTTGTTTCCATTTGAATATATTCATATTTTACCTTTTTTTTTTTGTATCAATAATTTCCGTTAAAATTGAAAAAGCTGCCATTTTAAAAATAATAATTATTTTTAGTTTTTCTAGTAAGCTTTTGTTTAATACACTATAATCTATCAGTGTTGTAAGTTTTGGCTTATAATGTCATAAAGAGGCTGAGAAAATGTTGTTTTCTTTTTTCATTGATTTTTTTGCATTTTATGCTGATTCAGCAAAAAAAAAAAGGAAATTATTTTTTTTTTATCATTTTTAATTATATTAATAAGTATGTTTCTTTTAAACTAACTTTGGTATATGATTAAGTTGGCAATCAAAAAATAATTTTTTTACCTGATAACCACCTAAAACATTTTTACTCTAAAAACGCGAAACCTGGATTTGCTCACTGGAAAAAAAGTTGCAACCATACCAATATTTCAAATTAATATAGAATTTTTTATAAATTTGTTATTGGTGAGTCCTAGTCGTCACAGGATATCCCTGAGATCTAATTATTAAATAATAATGAATGAATATATAGGTCTTAAAATCTAAAGAAAAAACTCTAGTTTAAATTTAAAATTGGTGGACGTATTTTTCAGACACCCCTTAGGGTGTAAGTTAGGCTCAGAGTTTGGCTTATGGTTTGGTTATAGTATGACTTTTAATAAAATAACCTTTATTTTTGGGTTCAGGGTTGGAGTATCGTTTTCAAAAAATGCATTGCGTAAATCGTCACTTGTTTATAACTTTCTTACTTGTAGGAAGCCTGAAATACACGACCGCAATTAAAATATAACCAAAATTCTTTAAATGATAAATTATAATCTAAAGTTGTATATTCTTAATACTGAACCTAAATTTAAATTACAACTAATAACGATAGAATTTTCCATCTTATTAAAGTATTGTTTTCTTTTGTAACTTTTTATTTTTTATTTGACAATTTTTTACTGTTAATATTTTATTGTTATCAATTTTCAATTATATTTACATATGAAGCACAATTAAAAAATATTTTTTTAAAAAATAAAATACTTTTTTAAAGAAATGGCTACTTAATGGATGTCATGAATACGTAAGATCGATTAAATATAAATTTTTTTAAAAACATTTGCTAATTTAATTAAAAAACTATTTACAATAAATGTGTAAATGCCAAAGAAAATGGTTCATTCTCTTTCAAAAAGATACAAAACAAAGAGTCTTTGTACTATAATTTATGTTAGCAAGAACAGGTCAATAAAAAACCAAATCATGTCATGATTTGGTTTTTTATCGACCTTATTTTGCATACTTAAAGTAATGGTAGGTAAATGTTCTTGCTACAGGCCTTAAAAAAAAACCTAAACAAAAAGTTCTAAACTTGTATATAACAAAAACATTTTATAATATAGATCTTTATTTATTATTTTTTTTTTCTATTTGTGATATTTTTAGCATGCAAAGAAAAGTGCTGATATATCTAGTCTAAGTCCTTTTTAAAAAAGATATTTTTGAAGTATAAGTTATCGCTTATAACTTATATATAACTCATCTAAAAAAAACTATTTTTTTTACTTCTTTTAATAATATAAGAAAAGTGAAAGAAAAAGAGTTTTTTCCAGAGATGATTTCAGATCTTCATACCAATTAGTTTTTGGTTTGCATGTTTTAAGTACTGAATATTTTACTTCATTTGTTTATTATAAAAAATTAGGAAGAGTCAAGGAAAAGTCTTGGAATTTCATTTTTTGACCGGCCACCCTATTATCCAAACAGCACAAACTTGTGCTGTCCATATTAATACTACACTTGTGTAGTATTAATATGGACAAAATATCACACTTGTAAAACTAATTAAAAAAAAATTAATGTCATTAATTTTCAATGTACTATTTCTTTTAGTTCAAGCTCAAATACTTACTCAATGGACAGCATTCAGTGACTGCCCAGTTACATGCAATGTCGGTAATCAGGTCCGCACACGCACACGAACTTGTACACCTGCAAATTTATGTCAAGGAGTTAGTCTATTTGAAACTACTCCCTGTAACACACAATATCCATGTCCAGGTAAGATGATTAACACAGACACATACATATATTATATTTTATATATATATATATATATATATACTATTTATATATATATTATATATATTATATATATATATATACTATATATATATATACTATTTGTATATATATATATATATATATATATATATATATATATATATATATATATTAGGGCCCTGTGAAGCTTTGTAATTTTGATATGAATTGAATTAAAAATATGATTCGAGATTTCCAAAAATTCGAATCCTTAATTTTTTTTGTTTTGGGTATTTTGGGCTTCGGCGCTATCAAAATAACATTACTTAGATGCTTCATAACATTAATAGATGCTTCATGCCCTGGTTAACCAGGGCATGAAGATTTTATTTTGAAATATGTTATTAAATAAAAAATGCTGAAATTTAGACTTCAAAATATTGATTCGAAACTTGATTCGAATTGCAAATCAAGACCTGCTTTAACATTTTAATGTTAAAAGATATGAAACTTAAAATGGATAAACTTTCAATTAATTTCAATTTAGTGTAGTATGGAAAAAAATGTATTTTCATAACCGATTATCCTCACTTTATAAGTATATAGAGGGAACTTTTTGGTCGGCCCTATATATATATATATATATTATATATATATATATATATATATATATATATATATATATATATATATATATATACAGGGTGTTAACCAGGAATAAATTTGATACAGTGTTTTAACAAATTTGGGAATTCTTCAGAGTATTTCTCAATCACCCCCCTACCCTGAAATTAAAATGTGTTCTGGGAAAGCATGGTGTTCTTTTTTGGTGTTCTTTTTTTTTCTACTCTACTTCAGCACTGCATACATTGATTGATCAGCGCCAAAAATAAAATAAAATACCATCTGTGTCATTAAAGATGAATATGAAATCAACACAAAATTAGCTGTTGTTTCACGTCACGGCAAACTAATATCCGATTTCCGAACATATATTTGGAATGATATCTCTTTTTATTATGAACTAATCTGTGTATATTAATTATTATTGAGAGTAATTAATTTGATTTATTTTTAATCTTTATATATTGTCGTCGCTTTCATATCAAGAGTATTATTTTAAAAATATATTTCTTTTTCAATGTAATATAGTAAAATAGTGATCTCCAATGAGCCAATGATCTTTTACTTCTAATTATTATTTAAATTCTGCTCGACGTACTTTACAGACAAACCCTTAAATCATCATGTAATAAATTTTGTCATCAAAAGAAATTTTTTGAAAATAGATAAGGTTTTAAAAATAGCAATCAAGAGGTCATAAATTTTATATTTCACATTTATTGTGAGTTCAATTTTATAATTAATAGTAATTTATTTTATACATAAATCGCATAGCGAAGTAAAGTTATAATCACAAAGTCTCAGCAAAAACAACAACAAATGTCGTTTAATCATAGAGTAATATTATTAGCAAGCGATTGCATGCATGGCATCAAAGAATACCAGTAAAAAAGTAAAAAATTTTAGCCAACTCAGTTGATATAAAATACCAAACAAAAAAAAGAAAAACAATAATTAAAAGACTTTCCGTAATAACCGTAATTGATCAAAAGGTATCTGATATATCCTTCTCGATGTTTTTGTTGATGAAATACATGTACTACTTAAAGTTGAGTTTACGGTAAGACTTAATAAGTTATTTAACTTTTAGCCTTAACTTTTTAGGGCAAAACTTTTAAAGAAATAGCATTTTTTTTTTTTTTTTTTTTTAATTTTAATTCACCTCCTCAAGGCCGAGAAGGCCACTACAGACGAGGAGGCTACTTATTTGTGGCTATAACCCTCTCTCAACTCTATAACTCTGAAACACGAACCTTGACGAACAAGGCCGCTGCGCGGAGAAACGAGTTGAGCGCGGTACTATCAGGGACGTGGTGGGGATTGAACTCGGAACCACTCGTTTATGAAGCGAGCGCTCTACCACTACACCACTACCACATATAACTTTTGCGGGTGTTAATCTAAAAAAGTTTGTTATTATTTTGGATCTTTTAGATTAGTACTTTATTTCTTGCTAACTTTTTTATCTAATATTTGCTGTTGTTGGAATGCATTGCAAAAAACAATTTTCAAACTTTATTGCAAGTTGCCGAAAAAATCCCTAAAATCGCTTTAAATATCTCGATTCTCATGATGTTTTTTTCGAGAAACCAATTTTCGCAGTTATGCATTTGTGTTTTTATACCAATAATGGCGATTTAATTTCATGTTTTACGCAGTTAATGAATTAGAATTTTTTAATGTTATTTTTTATTAGTTTTGAATAATTATTAATTTTAAATTATTTTTAGAATTATTATTAAACTTTAATTTGGAAACTTTATTTGGAGAATGGGTTTTTTCATCTATAATTTGGGAATTTTAATTTTATAAGCATTTGGAAGAAACGCGTTTGACGGGGCGCCACAGGCCTAGTTTACACCCTGATATATGTATATATATATAGATGTGTGTGTGTGTATATATATGTATAATTTTTCACAAATATATATATTTGTGTGTGTGTTTTCATATCTGTACATATGTACGTATATATATATATATATATATATATATATATATATATATATATATATATATATATATATATATATATATATATATATATATATATATATATATGTATATATATATATATATATACATATATACATATATATACATATATATATACACATACATTTATATATATATATATATATATATATATATATATATATATATATATATATATATATATATATATATATATATATATACATATACATATATATATGTGTGTGTGTGTGTGTGTGTGTGTGTTTATAAATATTTACATATATAGATGAGTGTGTTCATATATATATATATATATATATATATATATATATATATATATATATATATATATATATATATATATATATATATATATAATTTTTAACAACTATATATATATATATATATATATATATATGTGTTTGTGTGTATATATAATATATATACACATATATTTTGAACACCTATAATATATAAACACATATATTATAAATATAATATAGGTGCCACCTATATTATATATCTATACATATATATGTATATATATGTATGTGTGTTTATATATGTATATATATACATACATATGTATATATATATATATATATATATATATATATATATATATATATATATATATATATATATATATATATATATATATATATATATATTTGTATATATATATATATATATATATATATAATACATAAGTATATATATATATATATATATATATATATATATATATATATATATATATATATAAATATGTATATATATACATATATAAACACATACAAACACACACACACAAACACACACTTTAAGTGTAATGGTAAAACTGGTGAAAAATTGAGTGATAGCAAAAAAAACCTTTACAACAAAGTTTCGTCTAAAAATCTGTAATTTAAAATTTTTTAAAATAAAATTTTAGAATATAGACTTGGTGATTGGGGTACTTGGAGTGCTTGTTCAGAATCATGCAGAGCAACTCAAAATTATCCAACGCGTGTTCGAACTCGTTCTTATTGTCTCAGTAATTCAACGTCTTCTTATCAATGTACTCCTGATTATATGATTAGTTATGAACCATGTAACATAGCAGCATGTTCAATAGGTATTGGTGAAGTAATTTGTTTAAAAAATTATTATTTTTTTTTAATTTAAGTTTTACTTATTTATACTTACTAATTTTTTTTTAAATTTAAACATTACTTCATAAAAGTTAATACTTAAATTCTGTTATGTATTTTTCTTTTAGTAAAGTCTTGCAGCAGTATAAACTTTACTTTTGTCTTTGTGTTGGATTCATCGTCTAGTGTTGATGCTCTGCAATGGCAAGATGAAAAAAATTTGGTTTTAGCTTTTGTTAATAGCTCATCATTTGGAGTGAATCCTAATGTTGATGTAGCTGTGGTAAACTTTGGAAAAACTGCTAAAGTAGTGGCTGACTGTGGTACATTTAAAAGCTATTCAACTTTTGAAACTTTCATGAACAATTTAAACCTGTTAGGTGGTGGAACTGCTATAAACCAAGGGCTTTTAGCTGCAGAAATTGCATTCCAAAGATGCCAAAAACTTAACTTGGAACCTGTTATAATTCTTCTTACTGATGGTTTTGAAAATATAGATAACCAAACTCCTGACAGCAACATAGCTAATGAAAATCGTATAAAAAAAGAAGCTCTTTTAGTTGCAGGTGCCACAAAGGATTACAAAAAGGAGGAAATAGATAGAATAACAAGTTATATTGATAATAATGGACAGAATGTGTCTTTTAGTTATTATGCTCCAACCTTTACAGATCTTTTAACCACCCTTGGTAGCACACTGTATTCTAGAGTTGTTGGACTGACCCAATGTGAAAGTAATGTTTTTTTTTAAAAAAGTATTTTTTTAGCATAATAGAAAACATATTTTAATACAATTTTAAATTTTTTTGCAATTTTAAATTGAGAGCATTTTTAAGTTGAAGTTTTTAATTAATTAGAGTAAGACTATTTAAACTTGGTAAAAGCAACTTACATAGTAAATTAAAAATTTCTATATAAAATTTCTAATTTTTAGAGTAAATTTAAATTTAAGCTTAGTTCAAATGCAATTTAAACCTGTTGAGTTTAAACCTCTGTTAAAATTCACTTATCACTATAAAATAGTTTTTAGAATTTAATTAAAAATGTAATTTTATATTTAAGTGAATCTATAACTATTGAGATTTAATTGCAATAATAACTTATGTAAAGATTTATTTATAACATTATTTTGCATTTAGCTCAAGGACAATGGACAACATGGTCTGCTTGGAGTAGTTGTTCTCAACTTTGTGGATTTACTGGTACTATACAACGTTCTCGTTCTTGTATAAATCCAACTTCAAATAACTTTCAAGGAGACTGCGAAATAATTAACAATATAGCTAACCTTGATTTTATGACCTGTTTTCAGCCATGTACTGGTAGGCCTTAAGTTTTACCTTATTATTATCATTTAACTTTCAACTCTTTTGTGTTGTTTTACTTTATTACTTAACATTTTTTTTAATGTGACAATTTATAATCATAAAATTTTTTTAATGATTATAAATTATAAAACTAAGGGCATAATAACTAACAAAGAAATAAATTATAAACATTACTAAAAAATGAAGTTTGTGCTTTAGGAAAGTCAATGTTAAAAGAGAAATAAGCACAATTAATTACTCTGAGTTGTTTATATTTAGTATTATTTTATTCTTATTAATTTAAGAAAATTTTGTTTTAAATTTTTTTTCAATTAATAAGAAGTATGAAAATTTATACTTATTGATGTTAACAGTAAATATAAAATTTAATAATAAAAAATTAAAAACATTCTTATTCTATTTTATTAGCTTCATTTTCTGAATGGAGTTCTTGGGCTGCGTGCTCAGCAAGCTGCCGACTAGATAGTGGTCCTCCAACTACCACACGGTTTAGGACATGTTCTTCTGGACTTGGATCTTGTATTGGATCTTTATCAGAGACTCAAGAATGCAACACGAATACTCCTTGTCCAGGTAATTATATATATATATATATATATATATATATATATATATATATATATATATATATATATATATATATATATATATATATATATATATATATATATATATGTATGTATGTATATATATACATATATATATATATATATATATATATATATATATATATATATATATATATATATATATATATATATATATATATATATATATATATATAAAGCATGTTCATTGTAATTGTTTACTTGTTCTAAGAAAAAAATTGCATCATTTTTAGACATGTAAAGCTTCAATAAATTGCTCTTTGTCCCCAATAACTTGATAAACAACATATTTCTTAAAAATTGTTCAATTTAGAGTTAAACTTAAGTTTTTTCTGCTATCATCCGGATAGAAAAAATAATAAAACATTATAAGTCATTAACACCAAAATCAGGCCTTATTTTAAAGCGTTACTCATAGAGCGATTAAGGTATGCCTTAAGCGATTTTACACGATTTAAGCGATTCACAGAATTTTCCTCATCTATACTAATATTTGATGAAAAAATGGAGTTGCTCTAATCCTTAATATAAAATGTTTATATAAATACCCTTAATAAAAATTTTTAAACATTGAGAAAAAAAATTTTTAAATTTTGATAAAAGTTATATTTATAAAGTTATTTAAAATCTAATAATAAATTTTTTATAAATTTCAAATAATTTAGTTTGGTAAATAAATTTAAATGTTAAATTATAACAAGTAATTAATATAATACAATGCAATATGGGCGGGAAACACAACTCAGATACAAGAGCTTGTAAATCTGAGTGATAATCTTATTTTTATTATCACAATAATCTCATTCAAGCTCATTCTTGAACTTGATCATTCCTTATCTGCAAAACAGGTTAGCATTATTTAGATCATCCTGTTGTTAAAGAATGCTAAATATAATTTTTAATTTATTTTAATGCAAATAAGATTATATTTTACTTTTAGGTTTTTATGACATAAATTTGTTATTTTTGTTTTACTCAAGGCATAATATCTTCATGGGGATCATGGGGACTGTGTTCAGCTTCCTGTCAATTAACATCAGTATTACCAACTCAACAACGATCTCGTGTTTGTATTGGAGCAACTCTTGGAGGAAATTGTGGTGGACTATCTACTGTTGATTCACAAAGTTGCAATGTTGGAATTTATTGTCCTGGTATTTTTGTTATAATTCTTGTTGATTCCCACTTAATTCCGAGTTCTCTTTAAGTTTTCAGTTTTTCAGAACTAATTTTGTTCTATTTTTATTTGTACATTACAATGTTTTCAAATAGGAACTATATCAGATTGGAGTTCATGGGGTGCATGCTCTGATGCTTGTAATAATCTTGTTTCACCGCCTTCTCAAACCAGAAGTCGATCTTGTATTGGATATTCAACATGGGATCCTACCTATTTGGGTTGTCCTAGTATTTTAAGAACTGAACAACAACCTTGCAATATTAACATTGGTTGTTCAGGTATTAGTCATTTTAATAATTAAGATGATTTTTGTAATTTATTTGAATCCATTACTGAAATTTTTTTTTTTTTGTAATTAAAAAGGTACATATGGCACTTGGAGTGCATGGAGCAGTTGCTCAGAAAGCTGTCAGTCTAATATTAATGTGTCTCCATTTCAAACTCAAACTAGACAGTGTTTAGGAGCTACACTAGGAGGTGGTTGTTCTGGACCAAGTTCTCAAACTCAAAACTGCAATGTGCAAGTGTCTTGTCCTGGTAACTTTGTACACTTTTTTGAAACTTGTTTTTGTATTTCCTTATTTTTGTAAAACAATAATTATCACTATAAATATAAAAATAAAGCAACAATTACAACAATAAACTTCAATTGTGTAGTTTTAACTTATTTTGTTTATTAAAAAAATAAACAATGAATGTTCTCTTTAATAAATTTAATTAAAAAAGTTAATCATAATTGTTCTTATAAATTAAAAGGTTATATTGGTAGAGCCATAGAATTTAACTTTAACTTTAAACAAATACGTTTAAAGCTGGTCCCCTACCATGAATCTATCAATTAATTATTATATTTTGTGTTATTTTTTTAAAGGCATCTTAAGTTTATGGGGAGCATGGGGATCATGTACAGCAAGTTGTCAATTAAGTTTCACTTCACCTACTCAAACAAGAAATCGTCAATGCACTGGTGCTACTTTTAGTGGCAATTGCAATGGACTAGTGTTAACTGAAATTCAAAATTGCAATGAGCAAGTTTATTGTCCAGGTTTGTCTTCTTCAAAAATTTCCGCCCTCCCCTAAAGCATGACATAATTTATTGATGACTCAATAATAAATATGTAGAAGTAATAAAATTGCTTTTTGATTAGTTTAGTGTTTTGTGAGGTTGTATTGAATAGCTTAATTTATTAAAATGCCATTTTTCTAGGAACAATATCGGATTGGAGTTCTTGGAGTGTATGTTCTGCATCTTGTAACAATCTTGTTACTGTACCTTCTCAAACTAGAACTCGTTCATGTTCTGGGTTTTCTACTTGGGATCCTACCTATACAGGTTGTCCTGGTATCACTAGAAATGAACAAATTTCTTGTAATGCAAATGTTGGTTGTCCTGGTAAAAAATATTCATAAAATTTTTTTCTGATTTAAATTTCTTTATTGTAATCTTTTTAAACTAAAATTTAAAAAAATATGTAACAGGTACTTATAATGCCTGGAATGCATGGAGTACTTGCTCAGAATCTTGCCAATCTAACGCAAACTTAGCACCTTTCCAAACTCAGACTAGACAATGTATAGGTGCAACACTAGGAGCTGGTTGTGTTGGGCCTAGTTCTCAAACTCAAAACTGCAATGTAGGAGTGTCTTGTCCAGGTAGCAATTAGTTTTTGTTTTAAAACCATTTTTTGGTTTAGTTAATTTATGCCACTTAAATCTTGCTTTAAATATTTTATCAACTGTAAAATAATGGTTTTATAATGTATAATTTTAAATTAGATTTTTATCAGAAGTAACTTTATAGCATCATTTTTGTTGTGTGTTTTTTTAAGAACAGTCAAAATGTAAAGTTTCCTTTTCTGATGATTATAACATCTAGACAAATTTTTTAAAGATGTTTTCAACTGGAGCGCAGTGCTTATGTTATTTTAATTATATGCTTTTGTTTCAGGTATTTTAGGTACTTGGGCGGCATGGGGAGCCTGCTCAGCCTCTTGTCAACTTGACTTAATTGTTCCTCAACAAACCAGTACTCGCACTTGTACTGGTGGTTCTTTAGGTGGTAATTGTAATGGAGCAGTTTTAACACAAACTAAAAACTGTAACGCAGAAGTTATATGTCCAGGTAATTTTATTAAAAATTTTCATCTAATTTATTTCATTGTTTTTCAGTTGTAATGCATTTTTTTTTATTTTGTTTGTTTAGTAGTAGATGTTGTTATTATTTCAGTATGAAAAACCTGAGGCATAAAACAATTAGGTTTTACCAATTTAGGTTCATAAACTAATGTTGACTGTTCTTGTGTATAACACTTGCTATTATATTTTATTTTATTATAATTTTGTTTGCATAAATAATAATAAAAAAATAATATTGATCTTCTTTTATAATTTTATTTTTTTGATTTTAAAAAATAACCTAATAATTGAATAAGTTCATTAATAATTGAATAAGTTTATTCAAATTTTTAAAATAAAATAACAGGAAAAGTTTGAAATTTTATTATATTGAAAAATAAGATAAACTTTATTAATGTCATTTTTATTCTATATTTATATGAGTTTGATTAACTATGCTACGCAATGCAGAGATTAATGAATTTTATTAATTCAAAAGAAATTAAATTGTGATTTCTTGGTATTGTGTTTGTAAAGAATTCTAAAATAGATTTTAGAAAATGATAATAGATGTATACCTCAAATTAGCAAAACAATTAACTAAAAAAAGTGAAATTTGAAAAAGTTTAGATTTATATCTAATGTTATTATTACCTTTAATTTTTTATTTTCATTACTTTTCATACTTTTATAATTTGTAATAATTTAATAGCATAATACAGATTAAATGATTCTAAATAGTTGTTAAAGATTTTTGTAACAGGTTATAATAGCTACAATAAGTTAGCTACAATAGGTTGGCTACAGGTAATGATAAAGACTACAAGAATAATTACTGATGCTTGTTTGTTTTTGTTTTTTTATCAAGGTCTCCAAAATGTAATCATAAAATTTACATATAGCATTTTGAAACCTCTTAAATCTAAATTGAAAAAAAAATTAAAAGACCAGAAAAATTAAAAGACCTGTTAGTTACTTATGAATGAATTTTGTAAATTTTGTTATTTTTTCTGATTTTCAAGTCCTGTTTTTGTGTGCTGTTCAGTTGATAAGATTTTGACCAAGTTTTGAAAAATTATTAACCAATGAACGCATGTTTCTTCTGTAGTGATAATGTTATTTTTAAAAAGTAAAATTACTATCATAAAGTAGACTTAAAAAAGATTTGTATGTAATATATTTTGTATACTGTTTTATATTGAAACACTTAAATAAACATAATAAAATCTAATTTTTCTTTTTTTTTTTTTCTTGTTTGTTTTTACTCCTTATTTTGGATTAAAAAGTTATATAATATATATAAGAGTTATATAAATTTTGATACAATTTTTAAATGAATTTTTTTAACAAAATATGCAATATAGGAGTATTAACTGATTGGACTGCATGGGGCGTATGTTCTGCTACGTGTAATACTCAAGTCAATGGACCATTCCAAACTAGAGATCGATCTTGTGTTGGTTTTTCTACATGGAATCCAAATTTTGCGGGTTGTGTTGGTGCTACTAGAAACGAACAACAACTTTGTAATCAAAATGTTCCATGTCCAGGTGAGATTCATTTCTTTGTATTAAACTTCTTAATGGTTTTTGCTGTAATAACAAAAAATGTTACTTGTACTACAAAAAATGTTTTTAACAAAAGGTAATTATGGTGCATGGGCTGCATGGGGATCCTGCTCAGAATCATGTCAATCTAATATTAATATAGCTCCATTTCAAACTCAGACTAGGCCATGTCTCGGTGCTACATTAAATGGTGGATGTCCTGGAGCAAGTTCTCAAACTCAAAGCTGTAATGTTGGAGTTTCTTGTCCAGGTAACTTTTTTTTTTTATATATATATACAATAAAATAATTTTTTTTAATAAACTTTTTGAATTTTATTAAATAATTCATAAAACAAAAATTAAAAAGGAAAATGCATCTACGATGTTGAATTGGACCTTTCACCTTGAAGCTATCATTTAATTTCTTATTTTGTATTGTATGTTGTTGTTTTTTTAAGGCATTTTAAGTTTATGGGGAGCATGGGGAGCTTGTACAGCAAGTTGTCAATTAAGTTTTACTTCACCTACTCAAACTAGAAATCGTCAATGTAATGGTGCTACTTTTAATGGCAATTGTAATGGATTAATGTTGACTGATACTCAAAATTGCAATGAGCAAGTTTACTGTCCAGGTTTGTCCTCTTGAAAAAATTTGTACTTACAAACAGCTATACAGTGATATATTGTCATTAGTTAAATGTTTATTTAAAAATCCGTTGAGAATATCAAATAGGAAGAAGTAATAAAATTAATTTTTGATTAGTAATGCATGTTTTGTGAGTTTGTATTGAATAGCTTAATTTATTAAAATGCCATTTTTCTAGGAACAATATCGGATTGGAGTTCTTGGAGTGTATGTTCTGCATCTTGTAACAATCTTGTTACTGTACCTTCTCAAACTAGAACTCGTTCATGTTCTGGGTTTTCTACTTGGGATCCTACCTATACAGGTTGTCCTGGTATCACTAGAAGTGAACAAATTTCTTGTAATGCAAATGTTGGTTGTCCTGGTAAAAAATATTCATAAAATTTTTTTCTGATTTAAATTTCTTTATTGTAATCTTTTTAAACTAAAATTTAAAAAAATATGTAACAGGTACTTATAACGCATGGAATGCATGGAGTACTTGCTCAGAATCTTGCCAATCTAATTCAAATTTAGCACCTTTCCAAACTCAGACTAGACAATGTATAGGTGCAACACTAGGAGCTGGTTGTGTTGGGCCTAGTTCTCAAACTCAAAACTGCAATGTAGGAGTGTCTTGTCCAGGTAGCAATTAGTTTTTGATTTAAAATTTTTTTTGTTTTAGCAAATTTAAGATACTTAATTCTTGCTTTAGTTATTTTATCAAGTGTATATTAAGGGTTTTATAATGTATAAAGTTCAATTTTTTTCAGAAGTAACTTAATAGCCTTATTTTTTATTTTTTCATGTGTTTTTTGAGAACAGGCAAAATGTATTGTTTTCTCCTGATGATAATATTATCTAGACCTTTTACAAATTTTTTGTTTGAATATTTTTAACTTTGTCAGGAGATTAGTACTTTTAGTTATTTTAATTATATGTTTATGTTTCAGGTATTTTAAGTACTTGGGCTGCATGGGGAGCCTGCTCAGCCTCTTGTCAACTTGACTTAATTGTTCCTCAACAAACCAGTACCCGCACTTGTTCTGGTGGTTCTCTAGGTGGTAATTGTAATGGAGCAGTTTTAACTCAAACTAAAAACTGTAACGCAGAAGTTTTATGTCCAGGTATTTTTATTAAAACTTTTTAAAGTAAAACATAACTATTATGTATTAGTTATAATGAATTTTTATTGCTTTTTTCAACAATATATTAAGTTAGTAAATCAGTATTTAAAACCTGAGACATAAAACAATTAAGTTTAAAGAAATGTTGTATGTTATATATATATTTATATATATGCTTGCTATTATCTTTTTTAATTTTTTTTTTAATTATAATATAATTTTAAAATTAAATAAATTAATTTTTTTTGATTTTTTTGGTTTTAACAAGGTATGTGTGCATTTCTTTATTCTTTCCATGTTTGCATTTTCTTTTATACTGATGTATAAAAATTTAATTTGTTTGAATCATATTTTCTGTTGTCTCCTCGCATTCTGTAAATGAATTTAAAAAAAAGTAAGCTAGTTTTTGTTGCTCCACTAGAATATATTCTACTATAGCAGGGCCTTCCCTAGATGTTCAGATCATAGAATTTAATTTTTTCTATTGTAAAATATTTATAATAATAAAAAATAAAGTTGGTTCAAACAAGTTTGTGCTTTTGTAATTTCTAAAGAGATATAAAAACATTTATAATAAACAATTATATATTATACAAATATATAAATGTATAACAGTGTTATATGACCAAAGTTTTATAGTTTTTAAACTATATAACTTTTTAGAATTATATATTTTTTATATGGCTTTATGGTTTAATAATCTAAAATTAACTGTAAAATAATTTTTTTTTAATTTTGCTTTTTTTTATTTATCATTTTTTAAATAAAATTTAATACTTAACCATAATTTTATTATTGTTGTATTTTATTTCTGTATTTTATTTTATTTTGGTATTAATTTATAAATTCTAAATTAGTAGAAATAGTGATTTAATTGTATATAGCAATTCCACAATACTTGCTTCTAAATATTTTTCAATTTTTTTTTTTTAAATAGGAGTATTAACTGATTGGGCTGCATGGAGCACATGTTCTGCATCGTGTAATACTCTAGTCAATGGTGGACCAATTCAAACTAGAACTCGAACTTGTAATGGTTTTTCTACATGGAATCCAAACTTTTTAGGTTGTACTGGTGCTAGTAGGAATGAACAACAGTTATGTAATCAACTTGTTCCATGTCCAGGTGAGAATTTTTTTTTCTTTATTCACTTTTATTTTCACCTATTTAGATTTTTGCAATTTTTAGTTTCTTAAGTTCATTTTTTTTGTAATAATTTTCAAGCGATTTAAAAATATTCTCAATGAATTTAGGTTTTTATACTGCTTGGTCAGCATGGAGTACTTGTTCTGAATCATGTCAATCTAATGTTAATAGTTCTCCCACTCAGTTTCACACAAGAAATTGTGTTAACTTTACATTGAATGGTGGTTGTGTTGGCTTAAGTTCTGAAACTCAAAATTGCAATTTCCAAGTATCATGTCCAGGTATTATTTAACCGTTTTAGATGATAATATATGATCATGATCATATTAATGAATTTATTTTGGAGAAACAAGTTTGCTTTATTGAAAATCACTATCACTACACATTTGCTACACTATTGTTTATTTCACAATTTATTTAAAAAAAATTTTTTAAATAAATTGTGAAATAAACAATAGTGTAGCAAATGTGTAGTGATAGTGATTTTCAAAAACAAATTAGTAAAATAAAAGATTAATTCTTTAGTTAATTATCATATTTTCAGGCTCACACATTATCATAATCATTAATGAACTATAAAGAATTCAGGAAACATCATCTCACACATCATTATAGTCATCATCATAATGATGACTATTACCAACATCATTTATTTAAGTAATACTTTATTGTTTTTAAAATATTCCCAGGGGATCTTACACAGTGGTCAACATGGTCCTCATGCAGCCAGTCTTGCCAGATTAGCTCAGTAGTACCAACAATGACCAGAAATCGAAATTGTTTAAATCCTACTTTTGGTGGTAATTGTCAAGGACAATCACTTACAGATGTAATGTCATGTAATGCAGGCGTAGTATGTCCAGGTAGAATTTTAAAATTAATAACAGTTTATGAAATTAAAATAAATAAATGTTGCATTAAAAAATTATTATAATCTAATTGAATTATTATTATTATAGAAAGTATAATCTTATTGAATAGTTATTATAGTTCAATGTATATTATTATAATTTTTGTAAATTTTACCAGGTCAATTGACTGATTGGACATCATGGAGTCAATGTCCAGCTACATGTCAACAAGCAGTTGGTCAATTTAATATGCAGTACAGATCAAGACAATGTGTTAATACAACTACTGGAAATTGTGGTGGAGCTTTGTTAAACGATCAAGTTGTTTGTGTTAGAGATGTTCCTTGTCCTGGTAAGATATTAAAATATAACTTTACGTAAAATGATTTTAAAAGGTTGTTTTTTTTATTCATTAAAATGATAATATAAAAATATAAGATAAAATATATGTATAAGGAACAATAATATATTAGTGGACAATAGTAATAAAATAAAAATTCAATTTTCAAACAAAATAGAAATAATATACAAGATTTAATAATTTGTTATAAATGCATAAAATGATGATCATAAGAAGAGTAAATGTAGAAAAATGTGAAAAATATTAAAAATAAAAGAATCAATTTCATTACTATTAATAATATATTTTTATAATACAACAGTACAACAATCTATTAATGAACTATAAAATATGATAGTAATTGTATAATAATATATTAATAATAGTAATAATAATAATAATAATAATAATAATAATAATAATAATAATAATGATATTTTCTCTCCACAGCAAAAGAAGCAATTTATCCAATAAAACTTTAATAGTGTTATTACTTTGACTTGTAATTATGAAGTTTTTTTTTGTATTGAAAAATTTGTTTATTTGTACTGAGGCATATTTTTTTATAAATTAGTTAAATTTTTTTGTTAAGTAAAAACTTTTTTGTTTTAAAGTGAGGAATATTAAGTTATACAATAATTTCTCTCCTTCAAATTAGCTAAGTACTACATTTTTTTTAGTCTTAAACTTTATTATTTTTTTAAATTGTTATTTATAGTATAAAAGTTTTTGTTTTGTTTATCATATAAATGTTACATATGAAAAATTCAAGTTATTTTGATTGAAAATATAATTACACCAAAAGGTATACTTGGCCAATGGAGCACTTGGAGTACGTGTTCAGAGTCTTGTAGAAGCAACTTGTTGATAGCCCCATCTCAAACTAGAACCAGAACATGCACAACAGCTACACTTGGTGCCAATTGTGGTGGTGCTTCCCTTGTTGAATCCCTCACTTGTAATGCTAATGTAGGATGTCCTGGTAAAAAATGAAACTATTTAAAATAAATTATTATTTATTTATTATATTCATATTTGTTTGAACAAGTTTTTTATTTTATTTTGTTCTACCAGGTGTTTGGACCAGTTGGGGACCATTTACTGATTGCTCTGCATCTTGCCAGTCTACTGGTAATATTATTCCAACTCAATCGCGTCAAAGGTTCTGTGTTAATAACACTCTTGATGGACCTTGTCTTTCTGATAATAATGGTGATAAAATCCAAACTGTTCAATGTAATGTTGGAGTTATTTGTCCAGGTACGAAAGTTTACTTTATATATTACTGGTTTATTTGCAGAGATAATGAAATACGTTTTTGAATTTTAAGTTTTACTCTTCTTTAAGTAATATTCTTAATTAAATTTTTTTAATGTCTTCATTACTTTTCATGATTTAGTAAGAGGAACTTGGGGTGCTTGGGGTGATTGGTCTTCATGCAGTGCAAGTTGTGATGCTGGTCTTATTCAAAGATCACGAGCATGCTCAGTTCCTTACCCAATAGGGGCTGGTGATGATTGTATTGGCAACACTACGCAAACTCTTCCGTGTAAACTGTTTGACTGTCCAAGTAAAAAATTTACTATTCCCTTCTTTTAATTGCGGTAAATAATAAAGTGACAAATAAACTGTGATAAATAAAGACTATTTATTGTAGTTTTAAAAATTTTTGTTCAATTTTTTCTCACAATTGAAATTGTTTCGATTTTTTTCAAAGAATCATGTGCTATTGCTAAACGCTGCAACTGTTCTCAAGTTAAACAATGGTCTTCTGTTCCTACATTTGACCAATTTCAATCAAGAGGCTTAACTCTCGGAGGAATTGAAACTGTGCTTGGATATTTAAGTTCATACGGAGATGATACTGTTGATAAAGCATGTCAAGGTATTTTTTTGTGTTTATTGAAGATAAATTTTGACCTTTTTAGTGTTAACAATGTATTATTTATTTGATAATGACACTTCATTATTGAACATAGCTTGCAACACTATGATGTTAACCACATTGAGATCGAATGTTGCTGATCAGTTAACTCAAGCTAAGGCTGCAAGAGCAAAACTTGAATTAGTAAGTCATTTTTGTTTTAATATTAAAGTATATTATTGTTATTATTTATTTTTTTTAACAATTTTTTGTTTTGTTTTTTTGTATATATATATATATATATATATATATATATATATATATATATATATATATATATATATATATATATATATATTGCATATATATATATATATATATTGCATATATATATATATATATTGCATATATATATTGCATATATATATATTGCATATATATATATATATATAGACATGGGTTATAAAAATATCATTTTTCGTTTTAATTTAGATTAAAAATGATTTACGTGACGTCATCTACTGTAATGGAGTAATTTTGAACAATCCGGGTTTATGGAACCTCTACGATTTATTATTTGAACGAGCAACCATGTTAGACGGGGTTATTATAGAGTTAAACGCTATTTACTTACGTTTTGATGCTGCGTTGACTTCTTGTCAATCGTACGGTAAGAGTTTGTTTTTTTTTATGAGCAAAATAACGCTATAGCTGAGTGTACATTTTACACATCAAATTATCGAATAAAGTTAAAACATATAAATAAATATTAAATTTATTTTCATTATCGAATTGTTTTATAAAAATCTTTTTTATTTTCAGGTTGGATACATCAAACCTTCAAAACAATTTTACGCAAATGCACCTTTTAAAATGATTTTTTAAAATAAATATATATACGTTTTTCTATTATCTTACTGAATGCATTATCAAATTTTGTTAATTAAACACATATATTTAATCTTGTATTTTTATGTATGCACTTATTTAGTCATTAATTTTTTTATAAGTTCTAATATAGTAAACATGTTTGTTTTAAATTGCTTTTATTTTGCCCCTTTTCTCCTTGTGAGTTTGGTATTTACAAAAAATATCTCAAATAGTTTATCTGAATATAAAAAATTAAAATACCAAGTAACCAAGTAGTTAAGCTTCCAAATAATTAAGTCACCATACATTAGGTTATCTAAAAAAATGTAAAAAAAACATTACAAGTTAGATACTGACCAACTTTTTCATTTTACATTAAAAAGTAAGATAGAAAAGATGTTCAGTATCTAACTCGTGGAAGTTTTTGTCATTCTTTTGTTAGTGAAATGCTGTTTTTAATCGCTTATAAATCTTCGGCCAGTAATAAAAGTTATTGCAGCGTGGCATTTATAGTTTTATTTGAAGTTGTGTCAGGCTTAACAGTTGGGCTGAAAAGTTCGTATCGTTTCTAAGAAATGGCGCCACTAGAATTAAATTCATACCATTTTTAGTTAGTACCAACCTTGAAAAGATACGTGTAAAAATTTAACAGCTGTCAGATTATTAGTTTGTGATATATTGCTCTAGTAGTGACGCTACTTTTGTTATTGTGAAAAAAATGGAAAAAAAAGAATTTCGTGTGTTGATGAAACATTACTTTTTAATGAAAAAAAGTGCTGCCGATACCAAAAAATGGCTTGATGAATGTTATCCAGACTCTGCACCAGCCAAAGCAACAATTCGTAAGTAGTTTGCAAAATTCCGTACTGGTCATATGAGCACCGAAGACGATGAACGCAGTGGACGCCCAAAAGAGGCTTTTACCAATGAAAATGTGAAAAAAATCCACAAAATAATTTTGAATGATCGTAAAGTGAAGTTGTTGGAGATAGCTGACACCTTAAAGATATCAAAGGAACGCGTTGGACATATTATTCATGAATATTTGGATATGAGAAAGCTCTGTGCAAAATGGGTGTCGCGTGAACTCACAATCGATCAAAAGCAACAACGAATTGATGATTCTGAGCAGTGTTTAGAGCTGTTACATAGAAATAGAACCAATTTTTTTTGTCGATACATAACAATGGATGAAACATGGCTCCATCACCACACTCCAGAGTCCAATCGACAGTCAACTGAGTGGACTGCACGCGATGAAACGACTCCAAAGCGTGGAAAGACTCAACAACCGGCTGGGAAGGTTATGGCCTCTGTTTTTTGGGATACGCATGGTATAATTTTCATCGATTACCTTGAGAAGGGAAAAACCATCAATAGTGACTATTACATTGCGTTATTGGAACGTTTGACGGATGAAATTGCAAAAAAACGACCTCATTTGAAGAAGAAAAAAGTTCTGTTTCATCAAGACAACGCACCGTGTCACAAGTCAATGAATACGATGCTTAAATTGAACGAATTGGGATTCGAATTGCTTCCTCATCCACCGTATTCTCCAGATTTAGCCCCCAGTGACTTTTTCTTGTTCTCAGATCTCAAGAGAATGCTCGCTGGTAAAAAATTTAAGAGCAATGAAGAGGCGATCGCTGAAACTGAAGCCTATTTCGAAGCAAAGGACAAATCGTACTACAAAAATGGTATCGAAAAGTTGGAAGATCGCTATAATCGCTGTATCGCCTCTGATGGAAACTATGTTAAATAATAAAACCGAATTTTGAAAAAAAAATGTGTTTTTCTATTAAACGATACGAACTTTTCAGCCCAACTGTTATCTACCCGAAATTTACAAGTTTTAATAATTATCAAAATAATATAAATAATTAGTATTATTTATGAACTGCGATAAATTTGTTACTTTACCCTGGATTCCAGTTTTATGTATGAAATTGAATCTAACATTTGCAAAGTTTGGAAAACTTTTTTAATTTTAAATTAACAGTTTAAACTAGGAAATAGTAATCCGGGTGTTGATCTTGTTCGATGCAAATGCGAAACAGGCAGTTTGATAATAATCAGAATGAAACAGCTATATTTTATATTTCGTGGAAAATGGACGGACTCAGACTTGGTTAAATAATGTAATTAATAAAATTAATAAAATTATTTTTATAAAAGAGCTACCCGGGAATCGCTAGAGTTTAGACAACATTTTGACACTGAAAATTCGGGTATGAATAGAGATGCTGATAGATCAAAACATTTAAAAGACGGTCTG